CCTGAATAATGTAGAAGCTTGAAATTTAAAACACAACGTAACATTTGGAATATCAATTACCCTATGCAAAAAAATTAAGGTGGGCGTGGCACATCCGGGTAATATTACTCATTATTGATATTTTTGGCCAGGAGCATAACTCGCAAAGTATACGTTTGTTCAAAATGGAACTTTGCATACAATTATCTCATGAATTGAGCCACTTTGTCTTAGAAGTTCGGTTGTTTCCGCTTCTAAGTTCAAAAAAAGGAACAGGTTTTGGAAATTCAAAATTTTCAATTTTTGACCTTGACCTTTGATGACCTTTGATGACCTTGACCTTTATTAAGTCAAAGGTCATTGACGTTGTCTATTAGTTTATGCTTTCATATTTGACCTCATGATCTCATTTGTGTTCTTTTAATATGGTTATTGTAATATAAAAATAAGGTATGATTGATAAACCAAAACTGCATGTATAGTGCAATTGAGATAACTAAAACTCATTCACCCATAACATTAGTTTCTACACCAGCCTCCAAAAATGTGGAGATGGTGGCTTATAACCTATATCTGATATTTTATAGATATGATAGTTTTAATACCAGAACAAGAGCAGGTAATTTTATTTCAAATTAATGACTGCGTATAAATCAAATATTTTTTGTTTGGACAAATCAATGTATAATAAAAAAAAAATGAATGCAAAAAAATGAACGGTCAAATCATGTTATCACTCCATTTACTAAAAAAAGAATGGTTCAATATATTACTTAAAATTATCTTTCCTATTATACAATTATAGTTGCAAAAATGAAACTTGAGGGGGTGGAAGATGATATTGATAAAGGATTGATCGACTTGACGAAAGTTTGTATTAGTCATTTGATGGTAGATACTGAAAGTTAGTTTTTGTCTGTTTAGATGACACACAAACATATCAAGAATTAGATACAGTCAACAATACAGCTAGAATACAATCAGATAATAGTTCTAATGTTGATAGAAACGATGCTAATATGGATGATGGTAGACCATATGCTAATCTAAATAGATAAATCTAACTAAGAAAGGTAATAAACTATTAATTGCAACTCACATGATATCACAATAATATTTTCAGAATAAATGATGTGAAAAATGATAACGATCTGAAATTGTTATTTAGAGTGATTAATATGAGGCGGAAGGCTGCCGCCGCTACTGAGATACGAGTCTATTAATGTTTTTTTTTTCAGACCGAAAAATCAGATGGTAAGAGAAGAATGCAACAAAATCTACTTATGTGCAAAGTATTGTAACCATGATGTTTACCTAACCGTGAATAATAATCCAGTGTGTCCTGTTATGAGCAAAGTTGAGAATAAGATTACAAATTTATACTGTGGGGGATTGTTCTCGATATATGTATTACAATATTTCAAAACTGTAATGTATTATCCCTATCGAAAATCATAGTCAATGTTCACACGCCGTGATAATCAATGTGTTAGACATGACACAAGTCCATTTTCTAATGTCTATAGTTTTGATTTTTTTTTTTTATCTTAAATTCCAAT